ATGAAGCAATGTTCATAGAGTATGTCGGTGCTGCTACTATTTTCTATGTAGACACGATGAACATGCATTTAGTGTATGTAGCCAGTCATCAGGAGTGGATCCCTGGGATCCCAGGTGGGTGGCCTTGGGTCGTCTACTGAGAATTTGATGTTAAGTATATTTCTGGATAATACCTCAATGTCGTCCTCCGCTCCTTGAGGTTCACTTCGTTTATGGGGCCTGGTGATGGTGAAGATGTCGCTCCTTTTGTCTTGGCGCTTACCCGCGTCTTTTTGAGCTCGGGTGTTCTTCTGGTCAGCATCGAACTTGGATCTCAAGTCATTTGCAATATCAAAGAGGTTTCCTTTTAGTTGTTTTGCTTCAATTTCTTTCTTCAACATCGTGCAGTCGCCAGTGTCATGACTTTTACTTTTGTGAAACTCACAATACTTGTCCTTTTCTTTTTCTGCCTTTGGAGGCATTTTATCGATGGCATGTATGTTGGTTTGATGGTTCCGGTGCTCGTCCTTGGTAAATGGAAGATATATCTGGGACGAATTTCATGAATACCAATTGTTCTTGTCATGGCTCATGTCCTGGCGCTCTGGATGGCGAGTATTAGGGCGGCATACTACTTCTTCTTGTTTTATGTACGCATTGGCAACAACCTTTAGGTTGGCTTCTTTTCTCTCTTCACCTTCAATTTGTCTGAGGCATTTCTCAACTATGTACTTGAGCTCTCCCTTGATTGGGGTACCATCCCTTACATCTTCTTTGATAGAGAGCCAAGGAGTAAACTGTGGGCGAAGGCGCCGATGACAAGGAATTCCTTGTGGCCCGAGACATTTAGCGTTGCCAGAGTGAACGCCCTCATTGACCCCTCGGTGCAGAAACTCATCCGCTGAGGATTCTCCATGTCAGCGATCAAATCGTCTGCTAGCAATCGAGTCCTTTTTCCCGATGAACTCTAGGGCTCCACAAGCCTTGAACTCCCGAAAAGAGAGAGTCTATACCCATAGCTCACCAATTGAGATCTCGGTATGAAAGATCCCCAAGAGATCATCTAGTAGCTCCATAATCCCCTCGTTGATGGTACCAAACATCACAAGAGTAGCATCCAAAACACCACGCGTGATCTCATACGTTATGAACTCGCGTATCCTTTCATCAATTGGTTCGACACCAGATCCAGAACCAGAACCCGAACCTCCTCCTCGAGTGTTCACCGCCATACTGAAATACAAACATATAAACAATCAGTATATACTAGAGGAATCTCTCACACTGCAAGCTCCTTAGGATCTCTGTGATTTTCCTTGATTCGAGTACGGATCATGTGCTTCCAGTAGTACGAGCCCAATACTACCTTCCACACCTATTCGTACATTCCTCAAGAATCATCCCGAATCCTCTAAGTCACTTTACAATGGAAACTCTCACAAACTCTATGCTAAACAACATACATATCTCACTATAACACTCCCTAGGTTCTCCTAGGAATCCTCGTCTCATTTGCTTCTGCGATACTAGGAACTTCTACCAACATCATCGGTTGCCTTATGCATGCAAATTGTAGACAATACATGATCAAATAGATTGTCGAATAACTGATTCTACCCTAAGCCCACAACCAGACAAGGGACATGAAATAAGGCTAAGTCAATCATTCTAATGTTATATGATCCTAATCGTATACAATTTTTAAACATACACTTAGCAATTAAGTTTGCAAACATAGATTCAAAGTAACACATAACATCCAATTCCTCCTAGGCTACACAACATCAAACATCAGGAAATTTTATCATGCAATTCCTGAAGGTATCTGTTAATGTATCCCTCTAGGAATACGTTAAAGATAACATAATTGCTATCTTTAGGAAATCCTAGTTAACGTTCGCTGCCCGAGACATTTAGTGTTGCCAGAGTGAACCTATAAATACGGAATTTTTCCCATAAAAAGTATTTCCAAAGAAAATGATTTTCATTGATTATGAATACTTGGGATATCATAACTGATACAAGAAACATAAGCATAAACGAAATCATCACTAGCCTTACAATGCCTAATGGCCTACATTTCTTTTAATCTCTCATCAGATCCAAACATCAAATACCTTCGTATCGATACCTATGACACAAAGAAACTGAGTGGGTTAGGTTGGGAAACCTAGTGAGTACATAGGGTTTTCAACCCACAACAATATAATTAATATGTTTAATTATTAAACAGTTAATCTGATTTTCCATCCTTATTTTCTTCTATCTTTATTCTTAAGGATCTACCCTAAGAATCATCATAATCATTGTTGCTGACGGTACTGTATCAAGGATTTATCCGCAATACATATCAATAGGTTTTCTTTTATATGTTGAGATCCTGCATCATTGATTTCGGTAGGGAGGTGGGACTCCTACTTTCCTTTGACTGAGTTTTCCAACAACAACAACCATCATACCAACATTGGTATGCCTCCCTACGAGCTTCTCTACGGGAGAAAGTGTCAGACCCCAGTTTGTTGGGGAGAAGTTGGGCATAGAGTCATGGGGAACATGAAGGTAGTGCTCAAGACGACCAAGCTTATTCAACAGGTCAAATAGAGATTGCTAATGGCTCAAAGTCTACAGAAGAGCTATGAGGACCGACGCCGTTCGGAGTAAGATTTTCAGGTTGGGGATATGGTACTTCTGAAGGTATCCCCCTGGAAGGGTGTCATCCATTTTAGGAAGCGGGGAAAGCAGGGCCCCATGTTTTGGTCCGTTCTGATTCATAGACAGGGTAGGAAAGGTGACCTACCGATTGGATGTACTGGATGAGCTCATTCAAATCCATAACACCTTCCATGTTTCACAATTGCGGAAATGTATGGCCGACGAGACAACTATAGTTCCATTGGATGATATTCATGTCCACGAACACCTGAACTATGTTGAGAGACCATTGTCAATTCTCGACCCGAAGACGAAAGTCTTAAGCAACAAGGAGGTGAGGTTGGTTAAGGTGCAATGGCAAGACCGAAAGGGTTCCGAATGGACTTGGGAACCCGAGGAGGAGATGATGAAGCACTACCCCGAGTTGTTCATAGCAGTGGATTTTGAGGGCGAAATATGACTTAAGTGGGGGAGAATTGTAACATCCATTTTTCCAAGTAATGATTTTCCAAGTTTAATTTATTAAATATAATTTTAAGGGTTTTTGGGTGGGCCATGTCATGGTGACTAAGGCCCCACGATGTGGCATCGATTGATTAAGAACACAAAGTCGTGAAGCGCCACGACGTGACGAGACCCTTGCCACGACGTTGTGGCTATTTAGGTGCAAACCCTAGATCTCCAAGTTTGTGCCCTATTTAAGGGAACTAACTTATAGGGTTGCCTCATTTGGCGGCCTCCATTCTCTGATATCATACCCTATCCAAACCCAACGTTGTGTGCTTGGTCTTTTGATGGTATAGAGTCTTCATCTTGCTCATTAGATCTTTAGATCTAGTTCTAGGTCATTTTATGAGCTTTTTGGTCCATATCTTCTTGTTCTTGTAATTTGAGTGAACTCCATAACCTTTATGTGCCTAATTTGATTTTTGGACCATGATACTTTCATGACTTAGTTTGGTGTCCATTCAATGGGTGCAACCATTAATAGTTTAGGATTTAAGATTTTGGCTTATTGGGATGTCTTAATAGATAAAGTTGGAAACTTTATCCATCAAGACCGTGAGATGGTTTAAATTTAAGATTTGTAGCTCATAGGTTAAGGGTTAAGAGCTTAATCCAATAAGCTGTGAGAGCCTACTTTCCATGACGTGGCAGTCTGCTTGCCACGACGTGGAGGCTCGTGCCACCACGATTGTTTTAGCATGTAGCTGCCACGCCGCCGCCTATGGATGGCCACGACGTAGAAGGTCAGCTGGGGGTTAACTTTGACCGTTGAATTTTTGACCAAGTTGACTTTTGGTCAACTTGGTGGGTTTTAGGGTATAGACTAAGAGGGTACTTTTATATTGATGATCAGGTGATTCTTAGTACCGGTCTTCACTGTCAGAGAGATGTTTGTGTTAGTATGTTATTTGTGAGGTGAGTCTTCTCTCTTTGTTACCTATGCCATAGTGATGTGCATGCTAGACTAGCTGAGTCTTATTTGCCGATTTTTGTTATGTGTATTATTGAGTTGCCGATAACTCCAAGATTACTGATATTCCGCAAGGTTGATGATAACCTATAGGGCTGTTGTGAGCCCATAGGACTGCTGATAGTCCATAGTTGCTGATAACCTATATATGTTTATTATGTTGTGATGTATGTGATATTTTGGGGAACTCACTAAACTTCGTGCTTACAGTTGTGGATTTAAATGTGTTTCAGATACTTTAGATGATCGTGGAAATGCGAAAAGTTGACTGTACACACTCATCAACAACTTTTGTGATTTTGTATTTCTATTATACTCTAACTTTTGGGATATCAGTGTATTTAATACTCATGCTTTTTTCTTGACTTGGTTTTTTATGAAGACAACGTTTTTACCTAATTTAAAAATGAAAATTTTGGTTGTGAAAATGGGACGTTACAATTATTATATTAGTATCACTTTTTAAAATTTTTAGTAACAAGAATAAAAATAATTAATCATAAGTTATTCTTATTTTTTGTTTAAATGAGATATATTTCTTTAAATGTAAGAAATAAAATACAACAACATATAAATGGTGCTACTATATATACCCCTCACTTATATAAATCGTCACATCATGGGATACATATACAAACATTATTATACTTAAATGGGTGGACATACAATACAATTGAGGGGTACGTATAGAATTTCCCAAAACCAATAACCTTCAAAAAGAAACAAAAACATGAAAAATAAATCAATATAAGTTGTAAGAGGTAATGGGAAATAAATCAAAGTAGATGGTAAATAGGAAACAAGAACACCGTTTACTCCGACATAGCTCATGGGTCTTCCCAAGAGCCGAGCATTCGCATCAACTTCCTGTCAAATTTAAAACTTACTTCACATGGTAAAGGTAGGTGAATCAATCCAAGAATTTGTTTCACCATAAAAAGAATATTTTCCTTTAAAATTGGAAGTTAATAAAACTACATAAACAAAACAAAAGTCACCTCTTCTCTTCCCTCCCATGCCTTATTGCACATCAGTTTTTACCCAAATACAGATCATTTTCCTTTCCCCAAATTCACCACCCATCACCACTGACATCAACTCAAACCCATAGATTTTCTTTAGAATCTATTCCAGTCTGTGAAATCTCCACTGCATTGTCGATGGGTTTTCGTTTTCTTTTTGAAAGTTCAGTTTTTTACTTGTAAAAGATTCATCACCTTCACCAACTAATCATCATCATCATCATCACCACCTTCTTCTTCTTCATCTGGATAAAAGATAGAATTGGGTAAATGGGTGTTGCTATCTGCTTTTGTTATGTTTAGGGTTACTAATTTTAGTATTTTGTATGCCCACCAAATTTGGCAAAAGAAATAATGCAAGCTTTTTTGTTGTTTACCATCAAAGATCAATATTTCCATTTATAAGAGACCCCTTCATTTGTATGCTGGTTTATTCCGTGCTCTCTTGAAAAATCTTTGTCAGAATTTTGATTTTCTTGATCACCGGTTTTGTGTGTGTGTGTGATTTTCTTTCTCTTTCGGGCACAAAGTGAGTGTGTATGTGCTGCAGTGCACTTATGATCATGGCTAGGGAAAAAATACAGATTAAAAAGATTGATAATGCTACAGCAAGACAGGTAACCTTCTCCAAGAGGAGGAGAGGGCTGTTCAAGAAAGCCGAAGAGCTCTCTGTACTTTGTGATGCTGATGTTGCTATCGTCATCTTCTCCTCTACTGGCAAACTCTTTCAGTATTCTAGCTCTAGGTAATCTTCGTTAGATGTATTAATTACATATGTGAGTGTTTCAAGATTGCTTTTCTTTTTCGGTGCTAGAGTTTCTATTATGGAATTTCATAGTTAGGGTTTTTTATTTGGTTGTGGAGATATTGTGACAGCCTGATCCGTCAAATTTGGCTTTTAATTGCGAACTAAGGGTTTTGAGATTATCAGAAAACTATGGAGGGATGATGGACTATTGACAAACTGTGAAAATGTAAATGTAAAAACAAAAACCACTGTTCATTCTTTAAGATGTGATGTTTTCTTTCCTTGTAAATTTTGGTTTGTACTACATGCTTGTTTGGTTTGTACTGTGCCCAAACAATGAAAGTTTGATTCTTGTTATGCTTACCTACTGTAGCTTTCTGCTGTTTTCTATATAGAATGTAACCCTTTATAGCTTCCTCCAAAAGTAGCTCAGATTTGATTTCGGAAGTTTAACCTAGCACTTACTTCTTCAGATCAAAGTTAAACCTATAACTTTTTGGCTTGTATTTCTGTAATCCATATTCTTTAAGATAGTTTAATGGTTTTAATTTGATTGGCAAATTGTTTGGTTGGACCACATGACTTTTGATCATTGTTGATGTACAACTGCAATTCTGACTCCTGGGGTTTAATTTGATTTTCTTTTTGAGATGGTTGGAGTAAGCTTTTCATCATAGATCCTCACTGAAGTAGTTTCAACCAATTGATCAAGAATAGCTAGTCTTTTTTCTAGAATTTTTTGTTTAGATATAAATCACTAAATTAGATCCTTATGGTCATACATTAAAGAGCTCAGAAATTCTTTTAGGATAGATCTGTTACATTATATGATATAAGATCTCTTTATTAGGCTTCTTTTGAATTATATATAACGTGTGTAATTTTGCCACTTGAGATAATGGGTGCCAATAATTTGGTCAATGACTCAATGTGATAAAAACTAGGCCTATTTTCTCTTTAACAATTATTGTGCACATAATATGTTGGGTAGTTCTCTTCCCTAATTTAAGGCATTTTCTATTACTCAATGAGGCCAGGACCGAACCTTCTTATTATAGTGAACAATTCACAAGCATCCTTCACAATATGCAGACAATTCAAGCATCCTTCTGAATATGTAGGTCACTTCCATATGCTATTCACAAACTATGGTTTTTATGCACATGTTTTCTTGTACTCAACATTAAGCATGGTAGTATCCGTATCTTATGATTCTGCTCCTTGTCTCTTTCAAATCCTTTAAACGGAAATTACTTTGAAGTTTTCTAATGGCAAATAGACCTCTTAAACATGAAAAACTTTCTATAAAATTAAATGTATAATTAGTATAACGAGGCTATTATCTCTTATTAAGTTATCTATGAACCTCAAAGTTGAAAAATGACTTTCATTTATGGTGATACATTCAAAGTCAAATGTTGAGTGTAATTTTGGGTTCATGTCCCTCTATATGTAAACATGTAGTACATTGATCTAGAATGATTTGATTGGAAACGTGGAGCAAGTTACTATTTTATTGCATACCTAGGCCTCTAGGGTATTTGTACCCTCATTAATTTGTTCTTTAATCCATTTATATGTTTGGCATGTTCTCCAGCATGAAAGAAATACTTGAAAGGCATAGCCTGCATTCAAAAAATCTCCAAAAGCTTGACCAACCATCACTTGAGTTGCAGGTGAGTTTATTATTTCACTCTAAGGTTGTTAATTTTTGTCCACATTTTAATTTATAATATATTATATATATGGTTTGATGTTGCGTGTATGAACTTGTAATGCCTAAGGTTATATATACTGTGATCTGAAATGGCAGGATTTCGAGTACACAAAAAATAATTTTTTTTGTAAAACGCAAATTTAATGTCTATGTACAATTGTACAAGGACTTCCCTCTTAACTATTTAAACTTTATTAAGGAGCTTCGGTGAACTAGCTTAATTTGTAATTAAGGTCTATAGCTTGCAGCACAACTTTAGTTTTACTTGATCTTCACCCAATTTATAGTGGAGTCTTTTGAACTAGTGTTGATCAACCTAGATTTATATTTACATATGTGATTGTAAAATTAGTTACTGGGTGATTCGGAAATGATTTCAAAAGGCTCCACTATATCTCATCATTTTCTTCAGCTCTTTAATCTCCTCCCTTCTTCCTTCTTCCTTTATTCTATCCATCTTCATTCTTGTTACCTTGAGGAAATGGGATCTCAAACCACATCCCTTCCTTTCTCCTCTCAGCATGTAAATGACACCCAGATAACGAAAACTATGAATTACAGTCTACTTATAAATCATTTTCTTCTCTCATAACTTGGTTAAAATTTTGTTTTGCAGCTGGTTGAAGACGCCAACTATGCCAAATTAAGTAAAGAAGTTGCTGAGAGAACTCTTCAATTAAGGTACATTCTCATGGTCAAGTCTTTGTGATCTTTTATTACTTCCTTTACATGTGTTTGGTTTGCATATAATTTTCTATGAAAGACAGGAGGTTGAGGGGGGAGGAACTTCATCTTTTAAGTATCGAAGAGCTACACCAGCTGGAGAAGTCCCTTGAAGCTGGATTAGGACGTGTTGTTGCAAAAAAGGTCCATTGCCTTCTCATAAAATTGCAAAGTTCTATTGTATGCTTCTTTATTAGTAAAATTTCTAGACTAACATGAAAAATTGGAGTTTTCTAGACCCAAAGCAACCAAAATATTTCATAGGATTGCTTCTTTGTGCAATTTTGTCTGAATGCTTGTAAATTTGTTTAAATCTTATATATGTTTGTCAAATTAGCAAACACTCAAAAGTATGTGTTATTTTTTAGTAGTTCTACTGTAGGGTTTACATTCCAGTTTTTATTTCGTCCAGGGAGAGGTTATTATGAACGAGATTAATCGTCTTCAAGAAAAGGTAAGAACTACAATCTACTTGTCCCAATTTTAGAAAATATCATATCTTATTTCATAATCTTGAACAACAATGCTCATGAATATCTGGGTTCATAGTAATCTTGGTATAACTATGCAGGGAACAGAACTGATGGAGGAGAATGACCGACTTAAAAAAGAAGTATGAGTCCTATTTTCCACTTACTTTTTTTTGGTGTTGTAACTCTATTTTTTTATTAACTTTTCATCTGAATGGTGGAATGAAGATGATGGAGATATCAAAGGCTAGAGAACAGGTTCATGGTGATACTGAAAATGTAATTGGTGAGGAAGGCCAGTCATCGGAATCGGTGACCAACATTTCTGATTCTGCTGATCCTGGCCAAGACTATGAAAGCTCCTATACATCCCTCAAATTAGGGTTAGTACATCACCCATTAATTAAGCACGCTTTTGGTTTGTGAGATTCGAAAGGTAAATAAGAAAAATTAATGGCACAGAATCTGTTTTAAAATTTAAAAGTTATTTTAGAAGAATGTATATATACACGAAAAGTTTCTTTTGTTTTACTTGTAATGCTGTTCTGTAACTATGAAACGGCACTAAAATTAATCATCTTTCATGTTTGGAAATGAAATATGGTTTTTGTGTACGTTTGGTTTTTCATCTGAATTTTATACCTTTATATGAAAATAGAGTCGACATAATGAAATAAGAAGCAAAAGCAATGAACTCGGATTAATCATTTGTTGGGATTTTGGTGCAGGCTACCTTACCCAGGTTGATTGGAGCTTGTAGGATTTATATATGTAATTGATAGCTAAGAAGATGATGCTTATGGATATGGCTTTTGACAAGGATTATTATAATTATGATTGATTTACCCCTATATATTTCTGGCGATTATTTTTATGTTCTTACTAGCAGGACTCTGATCTGAACTCAATTGGTGGGTAACTTGTGTGATATGCTCAAACATGGAATGATGTATCCTGACTGACTTGTATCTATAAATCAGTCTCAAATTCCTTTAGTTACTAAAAGATACCAAAACATTTCATTTTGAGTGTGCATAGACTTTGAATAAAAGAATATTAAATAATTAGTAATGAAGATTTGGGAATTATAAAACAATATGCTAAGATAAAACATGATAGAAATTACGAATAACTAAGTACTTTAAGTAATACAACAGTAGTAAATAATAATAAAAAATAGTTATAATTCATAAATCTATAAATATTCTTTTATGTAATAAAACAATATTAATTAGTTAATAATAAAAAGATATAATGATAATTCATAAATCTCTAAATACTTTTTTGTATACAATATTTGATGTATGATTGGTAAGTTTACTATTTTTATCTGAATCTTGAATTTGCAAATTTCTTTTTCGTGTCCGTTTGTCATTCTCCCTAACAAAAGACTCCATGTAAAACATCTAACAACGTCATCAATAACTTCTACACAATTAACAAAATAAATTGTTAGTATAGTGGTCATGTAAAATAAGATATTATCATCGACTAATTTTGAGATTTAAGATTATGTACTAACCGGTGGGTCACAAAAAGAAAGCATATACATGATCAATAAAATCACTGCACTTTATAACCTTCATGGTATAATGCAAACCAAGTTTGTGTGGATTATCCGAAAACTTATTTGATGCAACAATCATACCGAGCGTGGTATTTTCAATGTAAAAAATCAATAATTTCTTAATGTAATCTATCAAATTTTTGAATGGCAGTTTGGATTTTTCTTCCCTAAGAGCAAAACAAATAAAATAGGAAAAACTGCATAAAAATCCTTATGTTTTGATCTTATTGTCAATCTAGTCTTTTTTTTTTTTTTTTTTTTTTTTTTTTTTTTTTTTTGCAATTAAGTCCTAATGATTGGTTATTATAATCAAAACGAGGTAATTAATGGGTTAACTGGTAATCTGATGTGGCACCTTACGTGGTAGTCGATATGTGAAATGGCATCCTACATGCCATTTAAGAGGGATAAATATGTACACATCTTCTTCTTCATCATCTAACACTCGAATGTGCGATTAGGACAATCAGGCGAATCAATGTCGAGTTCTTCAAGTAGCAACTTTAGAAGGTGCTATTATGGAGATACGATTGGAATGTGGATATCATGGACTTGAACGAATCCAGGTCGGAGGTTCTTTGGCCGCCCAAATTACATGGTATATATTCTTCAATTTCACTCTTTTGGTTTAAAACTTACATCTTTCTATGTTTCTATGTTATGTAGGATGAAGAGAAAGACTGTGGGTATTTTCGTTGGATTGACCCACCACTATTAAACAAGTGGTATATAGAAAAGATGTATTTGGGAGTTGTTACTAATGGTGGTGTAGTTGTTCCTTTCAATAACCATGTTGATGAAGTTGAAACACCTGTTAATGACCCTAATACCCTTGAACATGCTAATCAGATTGCAATGTCTGTGAATACCCATGTGCCTACCAATGTACTTGGATTTTGGAAGTGGATGATGGGTTGTTTGGTGTGTTTCATTGTAGGGATAATGTATGGTTATTTTTGTAAAGTTGTAGGGTATTATGATATGGTAGGGCATGTAATCTTTTGGTTTATTGTCATGGTGTAATGGAAATATGATCATATAATGTTTTGGTAATAAAATGGGAATATGGTCTTATGGTCTGCATATATGAATTTCAATAAATATGACCTTGAACCTGTGATGAGAAATATGATCTTGACATATGCATATATGACCATATATGACAAATATGACCTTGAAACTTCTAAATGACTAATATATCATTCACAAAACAAAGATGACCAATATGTCATGTCCTTAACAAAACAAAAATAACCTTAAATGACAATTATGACCATGAAACTTCCAATTGGCCAAAAGGTAAGAAACAAAACAAACATGACCAGGAAATATACACAATTGACCAATATAATCTTAAAGCAACAAAATCCAATATGCAATTACCAACCATGTTAAGGGCATTCACAATGTGTTAATGTGTTTACAAAAAATGTAAAAAAATGGTTACCACCAGTTACTTTAAGGGCATTCATAAAAGATACACAAAAGCAGCATTCACAAAAGATGTACAAAAATGGAAATCTAATCACCATTGACCAATTACTACCCTTAATACCTTAACATCCTGATCAAATCCAATGTTGAATTTACAGAAGTACCGACACATCCCATGTGTTGTTTTTTCAGCTTGGTTTTAACAATTATTTATGAGGATCTTCTTCTTTTAACAATCCTTAGGTGCATGTTTCTAACTTGGGTGTCATCAATGCCTTCTTCTTTTTCATCATTTTCTCGGGTTTCATCACTGCCTTCTTCTTCTTCTTCTTCTTCACTTTCTTCTTGTGTCTCATGGATAATTTCTTGAATCTCCTCATCTTATTTCTCAGTCTGAGGTAGATCATCCATTTGTATCTTAGTCAAAGGTGGATCCTCCACTTCCTGGAAAACAATAACCAATTAATAACAGGAAGGAATGTATATATAAACAATTAATGTGAACATGGAAAAAAGAAGGGTATACCATAGACATACGAAGTACTTTTTAAATAGTGGCATAGTAATCAATGTGTTGTTTCATTTGTTCATGTATCAGACTAAGCGTATTTTGAATATCCTCACCTGAATACAATGATTCTTTCAAATCTTCCATTTCCTTCCATAGACGGATTAAATATTTTTTAGGAATACTTTCATCCTCAACTCTATCCTGTCTACCATCCTCAACTCCACCTTGTTTACCAGAATCAACTCCACATCCTTTATCAGCACCAACTCCACAAGATGTCATACCACCTTTATTACCACCTATATCAGATGTCCCACCACCTCTACTACCACATGTACTAAATGTCCCACCACCTTTATTACCTCTTACACCACCTCTAGTCCAATGAATGATATTAGGCACCACCCTTGGTCTACCCATCTTTTTCTCTGGCTTGGGTTCTAGTGTGACCATGGGATTCTTACAAGATAACTTGTTGTGTCCTCTTTGTAGAGAGTTTTTGCCTCAGATATTTCTTATTTTCCAGAAACCTTGATCTTACTTTGGGAGTATTTGTCTTGAGATTCAATGACATGTCTCTTTCTTTTTTACACATAGCCTCCCTAGCATTCTTCTAGCTGGGGGGGGGGGGGGAGGCTTTGTGTATGCAGTTCTAGGCCACAAATTACTACCATTAACATGTAGTATTTTGTTTGCATATATGGCATTGAACCTATCCACAATAAACTAGCCACTGATTAATTGAACATGATCTTTTCTAGTGTACAATATTGCAAATTGTGCATGTACACATGGAATTCCTGAGATCTCCTAAAGCCTACAACTACACACTTTCCTTTGTAAATTAACCGCATAACCTTCAAATCCATTCCTAGCTTCAAAAAAATATGGTCCACTTGGCTTCACATACCAAGTCCTACAATGACATTATTAAATGAAATTAGAACTTATGCATTTGTTAAAGATGACAAACCTCAAGTATGCAAGCAGTTCAATAAGACTTGTGGATGCATGCAAGCAAGCATTAACGTGATTTGTGGATGCTTCAAGTCGAAGTACAATTGGCCATTTTGTTATAATTTAATCAAATTCTTGGATGATGTTATTCATTAAATTGTATTGATGTTTTACATAACTGTGACATTGTTAATCACTAAGCTTTTAAGCTCACACTTGATTTGATGTTGGTTGCCAAAGGACTTAGTAATAAGGACAATAAGAGAAAGGTGTTATGTAGTGATCGTGATTAGATCTACTTTATGCTTTTGGTTATAAAAGATTGTAAATATGGCTTGATCCTTGAGCATATTTTGTATGTTTGCATTTATGAAAACTACCTGCACTTATGGCTTAATGTAAATGTACATCGTGTTACGCTTTAAAATGATGAAATTTTTTGGGTGTACTTTATGTTGAAGAGTCGGGTGTTACAATTTGGTATCAGAGCCATGGTTTGATTGCACTAGGCATTGTACAGGAAAATCCCTAGATTTAAACTGTGAAGAGAGTAGGATGATGGCATATTCGTAAGATAGGGTTGTTACTCTGATTGTTATATGCTAAAAAGATGTGAGTTGACTAGACTTTGTGGCCTTAAGTTAGCCAACTATTAGACTTCATTAGGGAATATGGTGATATATATATATATATATATATATATATATATATATATATATATATATATATATATATATATATATAATTCGCTATTACTCATATTGTGGAGGCGAATAATCTAGTTGTTTGGAGCTATTATGACTATGAGGGGATTTTGGTAATTTATATGAATATAAAGGAGTTCGAGCCATTTTTGCCAGAAGTTCCATGAGGAACTGGGCATGAGGCTACACTTCAGCACAACTTATCATCCGCAGACCGACGGCCAGAGTGAACGGACGATACAGATTCTTGAGGTAATGTTGGGAGCCTGTGTCATTGACTTTGGTGGGAGCTGGGAATCCTACCTGCCTCTTGCGGAGTTCTCCTACAACAACAGTTTTCACTCCAGCATTGGTGCTCCGCCTTTTGAGCTCTTGTATGGGCGGAGATGTCGTACCCCAGTCTGTTGGGGCGAGGTTGGTCACAGGGTTATGGAGCGGATCGAGGTGGTCCTTCAGACTACAGAGATGATCAGGCAGAGATTGCAGACTGCTCAGAGTCTACATAAGAGCTATGTCTACCGACGCCGATCCGAGCTGGAGTTTCAGGACGGCGACATGGTGTTGCTGAAGGTCTCACCTTGGAAAGGTGTGAGTCGCTTTAGGAAGAGGGGGAAGTTGGGTCCCTGATATATTGGGCCATTCCGAATTCTTGCCAGGGTTGGCAAGGTCCCCTGCAAATTGGATCTTCCTGAGGATCACAGTCAGATCCATAGCACTTTCCATGTTTTGCAGCTGCGGAAGTGCGTATTGGATGAGG